CCATCTCACCATCCATGCCCAGAAGCGTCTCGGGAGTCATCGTCCAAGTCTCCCAAACCGTCCTCAATCTCACTCACGCCGCCCTTCTTCCTACCTATCCCCTTCTTCTGCCTCTGTCCGTACGGTGGGAACGCATGCTTTTCGAGTGAGAGCTATAATCATACAGCTAGCTTCCGAGTTAAAGAACAGATATCTGACGACGGGGTGCGTCGACGCCCATTGTGCATTCTCCCACGGGAATGGCAATTTCCTTCAACGAACTCCAATACAGAGAGATGATCATCATTTAGGATAAAGTGTAAGACATTGAGAATTGTTCTAGCTCATATCCTGAATTCCGGCTGATCGTACATTCTTATGGGTATCATTATCGTGGCAGTCATCTTCCATTCTTACTCCTTACCACCCATCTCCAGAAGGGTCCCAGGAGTCCCAGTCCAAGTCTCCCAAGCCCTCCTCAATCTCACTCACGCCTCCCTTCTTCCTGCCCATCCCCTTCTTCCTCCCGGTCTTCTTCTCCCCCTTCGCATCAGCCTTGGTAACCCTCGTCTTCACCATCACCTCTACGAGCTCCTCTTCAACCAAATCCTTCACCTCAACCACCCCCAGCTTCCCACCCCTCTTCCTCTCAACCTTCCTCTCATCCCTCGCAACATCAGCCGCCCTCATCACTTCAGCCCTCTCAGCCTCCCTCGCCCGCCTCTCCTCCTCGGCCCTGTCCTCATCCCTCCACCTCCTCCCATCCAAAACCCGCTGCCTCGCGCGCACCTCCTCATCAGCCTCCATCTCCTTCCACAGCTCCCTCTTCTTCCTCCCCGCCTCATACAACTTCTCCTCCGCAGGCGTCCTCTTCCCCTCCGCCCTCAACCTCCTATCCCTCTCCATCCGCCCCATCGCCAACCTCACCCGCGTCTCCTTGCTCAGCGGCACCCCCATAAACACGATCCTCGTCTCGGTCCCGTTCGGCAGCCCTACCACAAACTCCCTCTGCGTATCGTTGACCTTCACCCCCTCCTCAAACAAATCCAGCTGCCCCTCCTCATCCTCGCACCCTAAGAAATTCTCCCGCACAATCCTATCAACGTACACACAAAAGTTCGTCGTAAATCCCCGGAACATCTCCTTACACCCCTTCGCATCGATCCCCCTCAGCTTCTCCAGCTCAACCTCCTCCGCCGCCCTCACAAACACAACCCCCCGCTGCACATCCCGGTCCCACCCCCGAAAACTGCCCCAGTCCCGCCGGTACAGACAGCTGCGGTCCTTGTGCTTCCCCACATACGTCATCTCCAGCCTCCGCAGCTCCGGTAGCCGCTCGCGCAGCTTCGCCAGGTACACCGCGTGCTTCCGCACCACCTCAGGCCGGATCGCCAGCTCCCGCAGCCCGCGGCACTGGTTCAGCACCCCCCAGAACTGGCACCACCGCTGGATCGGCTGCTCGAGGTACTCACCCGTGAACAGGTTCACGCTCGTCTTCAGGCTCTTGTCCGCCTCCTGGAACCCGCCCACGTACACGCTCCGCAGCAGCCGCCGGTACGCCTCGCGCAGCCTGCTGCCCACCGCGACGGTGAACTCGTCCGAGCTCTCGAACACGAACGTGTTCTCGCCCCAGAACAGCGGTGCCGCCTCCGCGTGCACCTGCCGGCTCGCGAGCAGCAGGTTCAGGCCCCGGCGCTTCGCGCAGCGGCACTGCGAGGGGGCGTCCCAGGGGTACAGGCGCGGCTCGACAAGCTCGAGCGTGGGCTCGAGGACGAGGTGCGCGGGCGGCTCGATGGAGGTGCGGGTGTGGTTCTGGCGGAAGTGGCAGTCTGCGTGGTGGTCGAGGGAGTGCTTTGGTGGGGACACGAGGGCGGCGCGCCAGATTTGCGTGCGGAGCTCGAGGGGCAGGCCGAGGAGGGTCTTGGAGGAGGAGTGGATCTGGTTGGGCGCGAGGGGGATGGTAAGGGTTAGATTAGCCATTGTTTGATGATATTGTTTAATGTTGGTGATGGTGATGGCTTCGTCTGGATGCGTGGTGCCGATGCCTGGCCTGTTGCGACCGGATGGCTGACGATTCAATGGAATTGATTGATTTCGCTCTTGAAACTTGTTGCTAATCTACAGAAACACCAAACAGCCTGATAAATGCGGCTCGGGGTTATCAGTGTCTTAAAGGCAGGCAGCCGTGAGCCGCAATGCAGGCCGCTTCACTCATCCAGTGGATAGCAAATGCACGGAGGCAGCCGCCGGATGAGTCACGGCGCCGGAAAACTAAGGGTGCTTGAGGCCAATGTTGCCTGGCAGTCTGCCTGGAAACGCATTGATAGCACGAAACTGCGGCCAATTGGCGACGGATTGCAGGTCGAACGCCATTTGGAGAAAGCCGGTTGGTGAACTGGCTCGGGAGGGAGGCTCAGTGAGGCGGTGCTGACAACGGCGCCGCCGGCTGGTTTGCTGCGGATGAGGGGGCTTCTCCGCAATCTCACGGCTTGGTCTGCAGCATGCTCCATCTCACATTCGCGATGCAGCGAATTGGGTTCGGGGGCGTGTCATTCTGCAGATATGGATTCAATTAGGCTCGCTACGTAATTTCTGTTGAGAGTTGAGGTCGTTACTGTCGTGTCTGTTCAAATTGGGAAAACATCATGCAGCGCCAGACTCCTTAAACCGATAATGCCCACATTTTCCGGCAATGATGCTTAGCCCTGTGCAATGACGTCGCGGATAATCTTGTTGCAGTCGACTGGGTTCTCGAAAACGAACCAGTCATCGCGAGGAACGTTCTTAAATGCTTTCTCGAAGCGCTCTGGTTCGTTCTTGGCAGCAAGACCCACAGCTGCGATGTCTGTCACCTTGCGGATCAGAATGAGTTTGACCCAGCCCTTAAACTGGCGGTAGCTGTGTAATGTTAGTCAAATTCCACATATTCTGGACGGTAAGTACTCACATGTCGCCATAAGCCTCGGGGTCCGATTGCGTCGAGTCGCCAATGAGGATCATCTTCCGCTTGGGAAGCCATTCATGCACCTTTTTGATGCGCTCCACCTTGTACTGTTCCGTCGCCAGAGTCAAGGCCGACAGCAATCCTGCAACGGTCTTCCAGCTGGAATCGCGGAGAATGATGGTTCCAGGGGGGTAGTACTGATCTCGGAACTCCCTCAGGAACGGGTAGAGGTTGTACGGAGACGCGGAGAGGTAGAACCACGGCGAACCCTGAGGCAGCATTGCCTGAATATTCTTGTATAGCTCCGGCATGCCCTCGATTGGTGTCGGCTCATTGACAAAGGTCTCGCGGAGGATGCCAATGGGATCGCTCGTCTGGGTCAGTTTGATGGTGTCGTCAATGTCTGCAACTATTAGCCGATGTCCACCCAAAAGCAGCATTCAAATACATACCTGAAAGAATGGACCACCCCTCAGGCTCCGCGAAGAAGGTGTGCATCTTCAGCAAACCAGATGTCCCCTGCGGCACCATGGCGCTCGACGAAACCATCGCGCCCGCCGGCTGCTCGTGAATCTTCAACGTGTCGGTACTGATGCCGTTCGACGCCGAAGGTCCCAGCTTGAGTTCCTTCTTGTGATTGATAACCCGCAGGTGTCGCGACGGCTGCACATCCCACAAGAACGGCAGTATCCTCTCCTCGATCGTCTTCAACTCCTCCGCATCATCAGCAAGTCCCAACTTTTTCGCGACACCCTGCACGATGTCGACCACCTTGCACTTGGGCTCCTTCTCGAACACGGCGGCGATAAACTCGGCTTGCCAGCTGCCTAGCCGCGAGGGCTTGTATGCGGTGTTGTCCATCAACCAGACAATGTCATCCTCGGTCACGGGTCTGCCCCACGGGTTGTAGCTCCCCAGATGCGACAGGAGGCCGCTGGCGGTGAAGAAGGCCGACTGCAAGGTCGGGACGGTGGGGTTGGGAAGCTCGGCTTCCACGTCGTCGAAGCGACGCTCTCGGCGGGTTTGTTTCTGCATTTCGTCTGCGTAGGACGCGGCGGGGCTCTTGGATTCGTCTTGTCCACCCATGATTGCGACTGCTGCGATGATCGATATTTAAGTGCTGCTTTTTCGCGTCTTCCTTTTCTCGTCTCTCGTTTGCCTCCCAGTGGTCACTCGGATCAACAGTTGGAAGTGTGACTAGATTTCGGTGTTATTGGTGCCTTGGCGGCGAAGTGGTTGGTAGGCTGACGGCTCAGGGCTCAAAGGAAGACCGTTTGTGTTAGGAAGCAGGCGTTCCTGGTTGAATGGAGACTCGAGGGAAGGATGGGCGAGATGATGGAGGCAGGCTGTACGGGAACTGGCGCTCCCAAGTAGGTGTCGTGTCTCAGCCCTCAGCCGGGGCAGCTGTATTCGTACCGGCGGCGCGACCAAACATCTGCCCCAACGCCTGCCCCAGAAAGGCACGGCTGGGTCGCAGGGCAAGTCCAGTCGATCGGATGCATTATGTCAGAGCTAGCTCGTTTGGCTGCATCGTCTGTGTGGGAGGCGCCCGTGACATGGTTTAGGGCGAGCTGTGACAGGACAACCATCAGATGGCCTGGTAGCCCGGTGGTGAATTGGTCGCAGCGCGTCTTGGCTGAAATATGCCCCTCCAAGGACCCGTGTGACTCGCCTGCAGGGTGACCGGTCGATGACGATGGGCAGATCTGCTGCAGGCGAAGGTGTGTCGGAGGCGTAGGAAAGATGGAGGGGCAAGGGGTTGGGGGCTGGTGGATTGGAGCTGGCAGTTGGACGAAGCGAAGCACCAGCGGGGGCGGGAGGCATCCGGGGCGCCCTGGTCCTTGTCTTGGCGGATGCGTTCCGAAAATATCCCGACTCGCGATTGGGGGTTTGGCAGCATCACGTGGTGAAGACGCACGGTCCATGCAGCCAAACACTTTCCAAGCTCACCCGTGCAAGACTCGAAGTCATTGAACATGGGATAAACTCTCTTGATCAACTCCAAAAGTCACAGTGAATGAGTTCCAAGTGAGGTCAACTAGACGGAAGATTTCAAGAGGACAAAAAGCAAAAATAATGTCCTCGGAGAGGCTCGAACTCTCGACCTTTGGATGTCTCTGCCTGTGGCAGGGTCATATTGATTAGATAATATGAGACCAACGCTCTACCGACTGAGCCACGAAGACACGTTGTTGTGGCGGGTGGACAGCAAAAGACGATGATGTACCCTGGGCAGACCTCCACCATCGCGCCTCGCATCGATTTTGACGCTTTTGGGCCGCTTTCAGACCTTGGGAAATATCATATGGTCGGAAGATAACCATTTGATTCAAAGCCTTGAGCACAGCCTATTGTTCTGGAAGCATACCGCCTAAAAGTCTGCTCATCCGAGTCAATTCGTAGAGAGCGGTCCGTTTCGAAAGTGGACAGCAAACTGCGCAAGTCAATCACTGCTGTAAATCTGGATGTGGATGGAAATACGGTGTAGACGTTGAGTTAGCTTTGTACTTCTTGGTGCATTTTTTTAATGCCCATCAATTCATCCCGACTGATTGAGAAGACAAAACATCAACATGTGAAAGCATCTTCAACCTCGCTAAACGAGCGTGCTTCGGGATCCTATTGGTTTGCTATTGAGTGCATGGTCCGGGCAGTCCGCCAATGTCCTTGCTTAGGTCGTATTATTGAAGACTCCACATGAAGTTCAGCTGAATCAGCTGCGGCGTGCGGAATGGGTTGCAAGTGAGAATTCGGAAGGCTATCACTGTGACCAGGTAGCCACTCGATTGGCCTGTCTCACCTGTAAGCAATTCCGTGCCCCGAGGCTGCCTGGAAGAAGACGGCCACTCCGCTGTATCGGGCAAACCATATCTACATACACTTACCATATTCGTCCACGACAGTCACTATCAGCAGCAGACGGCTGACTGCAACGCCGCACGGCGAGGCTGCGTGTCCCGCTGACCACCTTGTCGCCGGCACCTCGTGTAAACTGGCCACTCATACGAAACTTCCACATACCACAGTAACACAAGATTGAAGACTCACATAATGATGGCTCAGCTAAACATGTGCAATGTGCTTTCTTCCTCGGCGGTTCGTTCCGCACGAATAGGTATGTATATAAGACTCTCGCATTTTCCACTATTGTATTTTTTGTCTAACCACTCCACACTCTGTCACTACCAATTTCATCAGGTTTGCAAATCATGGCTCGTATTCAAGATTTCGAGGGTATGCAATACTCTCGCACCGGCGATGAGTCCGAGCAGCTGGACTATGCCTTCTTCAACCAACAATATGCAAGTTCAACATACCAAAAGGAACACGACATGAACCCCAGCCTCATCGTCCGTCCCAAACATGACGAAGACGTAATCAGGGCAGTCAACTGGGCGCGCGACAACAAAGTCGCCATTGCCATCAAGAGCGGCGGTCACCAATACTCCGGTGCATCGTCTACGTCTGGAAACAACATCCAGATCGACCTCTCCAACACCTACAAAGATCTCATGGTCCTCAAACCCATGAACCCCATCGCTGAGGATCGCACCCTTGTTTACATGGGCGTGAGTACCACAATGATGGAACTCAACCAATACCTCAAGCATAACAAACTCTTCGTGCCGACGGGCCAATGCGCTTCTGTCAACGTCGGTGGACATGGTCAGACCGGGGGCTACGGCCAGCTTGGTCGTAGCTTCGGTCTCTTCGGCGACAGCATCAGAACTATCCGCCTTGTTCAACACGATGGCGTCATCCGCGATGTGACCAAGGATAATAATCCGGATCTGTTCTATGCCATTCTTGGCGGAAGCCCGGGCAACTTTGGCATCATCACGCATTACATCCTCGAGGTGTACAAGTCGAAGAGTTACTTGGGCACAGTGGCTGGCCCAAATAACTTTAAAGGTCCACACGGTATCAAGGCACTCTGGATATACTCCCGCGAAGTCCTCGAGAAGCTGCTCACAGCTGTGGCCAAGATGGCCGCTGATCCTACTTTCCCCCGCGGCTTCGACCTCTGTGTGAGTGTCCTGAGCACAGAGTTTCCCATCACCACGCTCTTCCAGGAATTGAATGACGCAACGGTTTGGGAGCGCGTGCAAGCCCACATCAGGAAGGTTCTCGAGGATAAGTTCCTGGCGTTCTTGAACGGCAAGTTCCCCGCGTCGATTATCTTGTATGCCCAATGGTGTCCCACCAGCAAGGAGGACAAGTACGACGCTAGAGTAGACGCCTGGTTCGACAACTTCCGCCAGCTCAAGAGCCGCCTGGATGATGAGATGCTGCAATTTGGCGAGTTCGATATGGAAATGTCGGATATGACGGGCCAGTGGCTCTTCCCCAAGGAGCGCGAGTTCGATCTGCCGTACGTCAAGCGTGTCTATTCGACCAACTCGACCACTCTCCTCAAGGATGGATGGGTCAAAGACGTCGTGGACCGGATTGACCTCATCTACAACCCGAAGCAGTATCTTGATGGCCAGCCTGGCGAGAAGAACTACGAGCGGTACCTGCGATGCAAGTTGTCGGTGCAAATCCAATGCTTCGGCGGGGAGAAGTCGCGATTCTATGCCAATAGGAACAATGGTACCTCGTACAGCTGGAGAGACACGACCGTCTGCCAGACGCTGGATTGCTTCCATGAGACGGACGCCGAGTCGAAGAAGTATGCCGATGCGTGGCAGGCGAAGAATGATGCTGTGATGAATGGGCCGGACAGCTCGTTCAGTAAACAGGACAGACGTCTTCTTTGGGGCTCTCATGGAGATTGGAACCTTGGAGATGAGAAGGTTTGGAGGTGTTACTATGAGGATGAGGAGAAGTATCAGAGGCTTGGTCGGGCGAGGGCGAAGGCAGACCCCAACGGAACTTTCACGGCCAACCCGTTTGCTGTGACGGCAATTCCCGACTCCAATTAGGAACTAAATATGGGGCAATATGGCCTATCTTGAGTCGTTATAATGAGCATATTGCATGCCAAGTTAAAGTCCGGAAATAGCGTATCATTTCGCCTCTCTTTGCACACTATGTAATAAGTATTCTGTGAAGTCCTGTCCATGGAAATTATAATTTTGTTGTTTGGACTTCGAAACATGAATTTTAGGCTTCGTCTTTTTCAGTATTTGGCAGCCGATCAGCATCATGAATGCCTTGCGCTCCGCAGGCTCTCGATCGGAAAGATGGTGTAACGACCGGTGGGTCTTTAATGCTCATCACGCCCCGAGCCGGGAGCGGGCACAGATATCTGGTATTCTACTGGTGCAGGATATTGCGTGCAAAATCGACTTTCATTGGCTGTGTTTGGCCAATCGAAATCTGACATGCAAAGATGCATGAGACTTGCATGCTGGTGTGCCCAGGCAGCCTACGGTCTCGTGACGACGCGGCACAGCCTCAGCCTGCGGCAGGAAAAGCATTCAGAAACCTCATCTTTCCCACCTGCAAACCCTCACAAGCCGTCCTCTTTGGCGGCATGGAAAGTTTCTATGCGGTGTTTCATCGTTTTTTTTTTCTCATTCATTTTGAATTCGCACATCGGCCTTTCTATCCCAGCGCGATCCTGCCCAATCGAACTTGAAAAACATCAGGCTGTGAGCCTGCTCGCCCACGATGGCCGAAGCATTGGGTCTAGCGTCAGGCGTCATCGCCGTCTTTGACATGGCCACGAAAGTCGGAGGGGCCAGCATCAAGCTCAAGAGACTCTGGGATGAAGTCAACGAGGTGCCCTCCGTGCTTCTTCAGAAGGCGGAGCAGGTCCAAATATGGGATGAGATGTTTGATCAGGCTGAGCGTCAACTTGTGGCCCAAACATTACCTGCTCTGGCCAAGAACAAAGCCCTGCTTCAGAAGTCTCTTGCAAAAGCTCGCGCTCTCTTAGCCGAGCTTCAAGTGATGATCGATGGGTTCCTTGAGCAGTCGACCATTGGTCGAAGATACAAGCGCAAGATAGGATCAAGCAAGGTGGCTCTTCGAAAGAGCGAAATCAAAGCTCTGGATGAGAAGCTAGATGAGGCTTTGACTCAGTTTCAGATGGCACAGTCGCTCTGCATGATGTATGTCGAATATCCTCTCTGCAACTGTTCGTACAGCCTGCAACTGACGAGTTGAACTTCGAACCAGGGCAACGCTGATGCAGTTTCCTATCCTGTCTATCGAAAACCAACCACCGCATACCTCTGAGCCTGACAGGAATCAGAGCACCTTGGGGTCTCCGGTAGCCCACTCAGATTCCTGTGATGAGACCGCCGACGACAGACTCAGCCATACCGCAAGCGAACCCAAGGGCAGTTTTTTGGTGTCGAGCAGGCGAACGGTCGTTGGTAGAGCACAGATCACACTTGGCTCTCGTGGCGGATTCCAGTTTTCGTTGAGAACACCAGACTGGCTGTCTTCATCCGTGTATTCCTTCATGGCTTCCAAAAGTATCTCAGGGTGGGACCTCCATCTCAGAGCTTACGAAGTTGTTCCATCGTTCGACACAACTGACCTGATTGACCATTTCCGAAACGACGACGCTTTGGCTATCTTCAGATTTCTTGACGAAAACAAAATGACTCCCTTTGTCCGTGACATGCGTGGCCGAGGTTTACTTCACGTAAGCTTTTGATTACCCATCTACCATGCCACGAACTCTATTGACACATACCTTAACTCCAATAGCTAGCATGTGAATATTCATCTATCAATTTCATGAGTCTACTGCTCAACAGGGGTACAAAACTGTCTGCCTCATCAAACGATACAGCAGACGATGTGCGCCATGGGTAAGTATTGGCTAATTGGGAAATATAACTCAGCTGACTTGATGAAGTTCTAGATGGTTGTGGTATTTGATTTTGAAGGGGTTTGAGGCATATACAAGCCTAAATCGGGATTCCCCCTTTCCCGCCCAAAAAATACTCCAGTTTCTGAGGAGTCATGAGATGGACGAGAATGCTTTTGACAATCCTGGGGGGAATTTCATAAGCAGTTCTAGTTTGCCGCCAAACATACTGAGTAACTTGATGGGGGGTGAGTACTATCGCATTCCAGTCAAACGCAGACTTGAAGACGCACGATACGCATCGCCTGTTATTGATTTCGAACCATTCTTGTCTTGGCTCCCGGAACTCAAGCAAGATCCTTGCAAACTGCTTCAAACCTCTCGGGAGCCAGGGATGTCTTCTTTCATTCACACCAT